TCGCTCCTCATATTCATTTTGCTTTCTGTATTTCATATGTTTTTTTGTTTTTTTTTACCTTGCACGTCTCTCGGAGCATACAGATGGTCTCATTTGCAAATCAGGGGGGGATAAAAAACAAGAAAATATGAAGACATGAATTCTGTCTGAAGGCCCTCCTCCCTCCCCCCCATTCTCTTTGCCCCGCCTTCAACAGAAAATACACCTCCACTGCCCCTCACCCCCAGTCCATAACTATCCTCTTCAGCTCATTTGAATAAATTAACACCCCTCAATGTCTTATGTGGACGTACTGTCACTCGTATGCAAGCAAAATGAATCCCCGACGAGAACAGCCGGAGATGTTCGTCCCGAGCTTCGCCGTCATGCTTACGCATTCTCAGATGTGCTGAGACACTTTCTGCTACAACTATCACGCATGCTTAGTTGAAGGCAAACACAGGATTGGCTGGTAGCTTCCTGTTAATGTGCTGCTGTGTGTGTGTGTGTGTGTGTGTGTGTGTGTGTGTGTGTGTGTGTGTGCGTGTGATTCATTTTAGCCTAATGCAGCATGCGGAGACGGAAAGGCTGGCCCCGCTGAGAAACTCTGAAGTCTACAACAATCTGTGGTCTCCGTTATGTGTTTCTAGAGTGCGTGTTCTGCCTGAAATTGTCCTATTTGTTTAAGGATTCACAAAGCAAGCCATGTGACCAATCAACCGATTCAGTTTGCTCCACCAATCGAAGCTGCCCTCCATCACTCCCATGCCGGCACCTCTCTTCGTTCTCGTTTTTTGATCTCTGTGACCTTGCGCAGAGCTAAGCAGCAAAGCCACGCACACTTCCCTCCTAATTTTAACCTTGCAGAGGTTTCACTGGGCTTTGGGCAACGCATTAATATTGGACACATTAATGCAAATACGATCCTGGCACGTTTGGCATCGCCTGAGGGGCGTCTCCGATTGTCCACACATGCAGTGCTTCTGTTTTTCAGTCAACAAACTCTCTTCCTCCCACTTTCCCTACTGCATATCCTTTACATCCTCCTCCCTTATATTTTGAAGAACAGTGGTGCATAGCGATGTGGAAAGGGATGGTAGGGAATAGGTGCGGTGGGCCTGTCCTGGACTGCTTGTTCTCACTCTCGGTCTCTGGAGCTCTCCGGGAGCTACTTGCTTTTTCTCTGGCCTGGCTGGCTGGCCAGCCGAGCTCAAACTGTCAGTCCCCATGACGATCACTGGCTGACGTATAGCATAACCTGCTTGGTGCTGTCACACCAACTCGCGTCAGCCACCCTAACCATCTTGCCACATTGCTTTTAGGAGACAGACCTTGTGCGTTATCGTACAAGGCAGACGGCTGATGCTTCTGTGCGAAGAGCTTTAGAGTGTCGAGTCCTGTCCGATGGCCTGCTTTGTTTCTAGGGGCCAGGAAGGAAGTGGGGAGGTTTGCAAACAACAGTCGGATGAAAAGGGTGACAGACGGGTTACCTAGCGCCCGTGATTTATTGACGTGACGGCAAATTCTAACTGGTGATGATTGCAAACCCTCACATGTTGTTGGCCATAATCTGTTGGAGTTAGTTTGACTATTTTGGTCACATTGTTCCATCTGGTGTTATTTTTGTGTTCTTAATCACATGTGTTACTTTGACCTGAATGTCTCAGTTTCCTTCTGCCTAATTAAACTTAAGTTTTTTTTTTTCTTACTTTTAGCGTTTAAAACATTTGGCCATGAAAGGATTATTAAATACTAACGTATTCTAAAATATTATTGACGGAAATTGTGTTTTTTCTTGCAACACTTGCTGGAAGCAATGGACTGTGCTTGTCTATTTTATTATGCAGCATTTGTTTGCTTAGCTCATGCACATTGATGACTTATAATGAAAACAACTGATCAATTTTTAAATACTTTATAATATTTTTCAGCAGTGTTGCAAAAACTAGAACAAAATGGAGTGATGGGGTATAATTTTATTAGAAATTGGTTGTGAATTTGACAAGATTTTCATTTTTAGACATTTCTTTACTTCAGTCATTGTATCACAATCCAAATAAATAAATGCAATTAGATTAGGTATAGATTTTGGTTTTAAATTTGCACATAAGTATCACAAAAAACATGGATTTTTTTTTTGTTTTACGAACATTATCATGCCATCAGAATGCCAAACCACACCATGCTTAGTGCGCTTGATGCTCCAGAAGATTTACATCCACACAAGAACTCGCTCTCACCCTATGTGTATATCACTTTTATTGCACGGTGTTTGTGTATTCCTGTTTTTTTTTTTGGCTCCGTGTGTGTGTGTCGGAGAGAAACAGAGAGACAGATCGCGTGGGTTTGTGGGTTTCCACCTGTTACATAATAAAGAGTGGAGGCAGAATCTGCTTCCTTCCTTGGCACACTACAGCGGCTCCTCGGTGGGAGTGAAAGGGCTCCACAGCTTGCCTCAGCTCCACTAAACGACAAGAAATGCTTTTTGATTATGCCTCTCAAAACATCGCCTAACACTCTAAAACCCGCTGGGTCATTTCGTCAACCCAAATGCTTTGGTTAGTACCATCAGAACAGATGCTGGGGAGTCTTAAGAAAATAAGTTTGTTGGGTTGGAGGTGAGGCTAAAAAGGAGACTCATTATTTTTCACAGGCACACTTTTTTTTTTTTTTTTTTTTACCTTCAGTTGACCTGATTACTCTTCAACCAACGTCTTCCTCAGGATAAAATAAAAATGGGTAAGAAGGCAAAACAATGCTGTTCACTTGGGGTAAAGTCAGTGGTTTTGTTCACACTAGAGATCGAGGTTGTTCACTTTGGAGACAATTAGCCTTTATGCTAAGAACTCTACATAGCTATCTCCTGGTGTGCACTGATTAGCATTTCTTAAAACTTGTCAAAGGAGGGAACATGTGATCAGGATCCTGGACAGCCAAGGTTCCTGGATGCACATAGAAAGTAAAAGCTGGCCTACTCTACTTAAGAAAAGATTCTTACATTGTAAGGATCATGGTGGCAGCATGTTGGAGTAGCTCTGTTGCATTAGTCCTGATTTAGTCTTTTGTTAATTTCTCTTTTTTCTTTTTGTTTTGTTTTTTTTTTTTTTAGTTGAGGCATTGCATATTTGGAAAGTTATTCCCTCCGCTTTTGGATTCTGTGCATCTAAAACCCATTCTTTGGACAGTTGTATGCACATCTGTGACAACAAAAGAATCATTTTCTTTACAATGGGAGCAGCTGATTAGCATCTCAAAAGTTTAAAGAACACCTCAACTGTGAGCCCGGATCTCGGAGGAGTTGAAACTGAGATTTTAAGGATGCAGAGTCAGACCAAGGAGCAGAGAGAAAAGAAGGAAGTCCAAATAATCTATTCCATCGGTGATATAACTGGTAATCACATCCCCAACTCCAACATCTCTCCACACAGCCAGGCGGAGAACTAAAGAGGAGTAGCAAGAGCAAAGGAGGTGGCTCAACTGGACTTGCCAACTTTTTTATCCAGAGTTATCCTGCATCAAACACATTTTCAGCCCATTTCCTCTACACACAGGCTCCAAGTTTAAACAGCAAACCGATGAACTGAAGTTGCTCAAAAATCCTGAAGATGTTGATACTAGTTTTGATGACAATATGACCCTTGATTTTAATCCCAGAGGAGAGTTTCTGTTTGGAACATGCATTCACATATCTGGGCTCACGCCAGCTTCCACAAAAATTTAAAAAAGATGTCCAATCCAAATTGTTTGATACAATGCTATCTGTCCAGTGTTCCTCAAGATGGACTGTTGTCTTGTTTTGGGTGTACTGTCCTCTTGCAATGACCACCAGAAATAGACACCAGTCCTGTATAAGGAGTAGTTGCAGTGGATGACCATTGGTTTTTCTCTCAAATAATGTATTTATTATTGACTGTTCTTGTAATTGCTCTTGTAAGCATCAAATATTTGTCTTTTTAACCCTTTGGAGGTAACCCCCCATCCCCCCCAAAAAAAAATAAAAAATAACCAGAAAATAAACTTGGGTTAGAAGAATACCCCCAAGTGGGTTTTGTTTTAAGCCAGCACTTCTTTAGAGTGTTTACAGGCAGAGAGCTGTTTGGGAGTTTATGTCAAGCAAAGGCTGTTGAATATCAGATGAGTTGTACATTTGTTAAGACAATAAGTGAGGTATTCCTCGGAGGTCAGTGTTGCGGGTCACAAGGTGGTGAAGCATGTCCCAGCCATCAACAGTTAAAAGATGGGTCACACACACTGACCAGGTTACCGGTCCATAGAAATTTCTTGACTTGCAAATGTGAAAGCGTTTGCATTGTGACCAGGAAACATGCTGGCTACACATTCAAATTTGCGCCATGACGCAGAACTTGCAAAATACTTTGATGCGTCTCTTTTCACACCTGCCATTTAAAGATGCATGTCAGGGACGCCCAGGTTCGGCCCTGCTGCCGTCACGCAACTTTTAGACGCATCTCTGCTCCAACACACCTGAATCAAATGGCATCACCAGAAACTCGTACAGTGTTGGAGCGACCCTTAGCCCATCTCAGTAAAGTTATTGGTTCTATTCTCATTTTTTTCCCCCCTTAATTTGGTTCTCGATAACCATTTTCTTAACATTATTATCAGAATTATCACGTAAAGGTCTGTAGCCATATGTGGGCAGAGCGCATTCCGACTCTCCGCTTGAAGGAAGCGGACTGTGCAGCATCTGTGCGCTTCCTCTCATCCATCTCACCTGGAACTTTAACATTTCGTGGTCCTTTTTTAGTTTTACTATCACACTCAGGTTCAAGATTGTTTTAAGATTGAGAACGTCAGCCCAAACAATCTTAAACTTTCATGCAAGTGAGATTTTTTTTTTTTATTTAGTTAGTTTGAACTCGGATTTTCCTCAGTTTAGAGTATGAACTCATCAGGTCATTGCGCGTAAAAGTGTTGTCTCCAGCGAGTTTTTTTTTTTTTCTCTTCTCCACAGTGTGCGTTATCGGTGTATCTCTCCAATACACGGGGCATCATTTGGATAGCGGGGGTGGAGCGAGCAGCAGCCTGTCCCGGTAAGGGGAGGGGAGAACGGGGAGCAGAGGCGGTTCTTTCCTCGGCTCTTCGCTTTTTCGGCGCTGGAGAGTGTTGGGACCAGGGCTGGAGAAGACCGCCGGGGAGCATTAGAGAAAAGATCCAGTCCTGTGCACGGAGCCTCGACTGGCCGAACGCGGCGCCGTGCGCTTTTCTTTTTTTGGGGGGGGGGACTGCACAACATTCCTGTGAAATATAACTGCTATTAATGGCATGTGGCTTGTAACTTTACTCCTGCTGTATTCTTTGCAAGAAGGTAAGCTGGAGATTTTGAGTGTTTGCCTTGTCTGCATGTTGCCTCCTTTCTCTGAAAAAATACAAAATAAAAATGCTGAAGTTGGCTAGTTGATAGATTTTACATGCTCCAAAGGACACGCACCAAACTCCAAATCACTGTTTGAAGAAGATAAGAAACTTTTTCTTTTCGTTTTGAAGGTGTTTATTCTCTGATCAGCCATCAATTTATCATAAACTGCTGCTTGGATTGACGTCTGCATGCCCCCGTGGTGATTAATCTGATTAGGCGCAAATAAATTACAAAGAGAAACACTACGAACACAAAAATCAGCAGTCACTTTTATTTGTGTGAAGGATTAAAAACAACAACAACAACAACAAAAACATAAGTATATAAAGTTGAACACAAACTGCATCCATGTTGCAACCGGTAAAAGAAAAAAAAGCAGCGGTATTAGCAATTTTGCATGATGAATATGAGAATGTGCCGTTAATATGGAGGCTGTTGAATAGGAGGAGAGGCTGATAACAATCTGTGCTGATGAAGAGCGCCGATGGTTTGGCTCTGGGGCCGTTTTCTCTGAAAAGTCCGAGTGGATGGAGAAGTTTAAAGCTTTTGCAGATCTTTTCTGTCCAAGCAAGATGTTAGAGAGCGAGTTTGAGTCCTTGTGTGTGTGTGCGTGTGTGTGCGTGCGTGCGCGAGCGCAAATGTGTGTGTTGGAAGTACAGAAGGCAAAGAATGGAGTGTCGGGGGTAAAAGCATCTTTCCCCGTTTATCTGAGTTTTTTTATTTGTTTTTTTTGTGATAGGTGCCAAAAATGGATGTTTCTGAGGATTTTTGCTTGGTTGTTTAGTTCCTGCGAAAGCAGAGTAAAAAGGGTCAGTAGATTTTTGATGAAATAAAGGAGATTTTTTATTTATTTTCCCAGGTGATGCTTTCCACTTGGATGTTTTAAAATGCGAGAAAGATCCAGTTATAGTTTGGTTTTCCTCTGCTAAAATGTCGGAGTGACTCAGTTATCATCCTTGCTCTAATTATTCATCCACCATTTTCTGTGCCACTACATTGTACTGATTGGCCTTGCTCTGAACACTGCAGATGCAAGATAATTAGTCATTTTCTCCTCTTTCCTTAAAAAAAAAAAAAAAAAAAAAAAAAAACACGAAAAGATTTAAATATCCATGGAAGAATTAGTGAGGAAATAAATATGTATATACATCTATATCTAGATAAATATGTATATAAAAAAAAATCAAAAGAATCTCAGTTCAATCTGCTGCCTTGACGAGCGACTTTGAATCTGGATGCTTAAATATGATAAGCCATTCTAAAAGTTTATTCATATGAACTATCGTTTGTTTCCGGAGTGTTGCATGTTTGTAGTCGCTGGCCTTGGCAGTTCCCTTTGCTGGGGTGCACCTGCGCGGTGGGGGACTTCTGGGCTGTTTTTGTTGTATGTAATTGGATTACAGGGTCTATTTCGATTTTACGCACTGTACATTCCCCTGTCCCGTGACTGAACGAAATGTATCGTGTGTGTGTGCGTGTGTGTGTGTGTGTAGAGGTCTCCATGTGAATGCGTGTGTGTGTGTGCGCGCGCGCGTGTGTTTGTGTGGTGATGGGAGGAGGGTTGGGGGCTGCAAGCAGCCACTGGAGCGGAAAGAGTGCTTGAGATGGGAGAGATGTAGATAACGCAGTGGAAAACAAACTTCAATGTTTTTCCGTAGATTTCTCAGAGCCATGCTCCCCCTGGTTTTGCACGGATCAAACATCTGACCGCTTTTCTCCTTTAAGAATATATTAATTGACGACATTGTCCAATTTTACGGCGAAAGAGGAAGGTCTATTATCATACATGCATATGCATTAGTACTGCGTATTTTCCTGGCAGCGCCACCCAATATGGCACACTGTCATCTGCTTGCTTCTTGTGTTTTCTTTACGCCAGAATTGAAGGTATTTGCTTGAAATATATATTTTATATATATATATATATATATATATATATATATATATATATATATATATATATATATATATGCATATGCATTTCCTTATTCTGCCCGTCACTGATGGCCGTTTGCTGCTTTAGTTTGGCTGCGTATCAGCACACACCTGGACCCATGTCTGAGTGCGGAATGGAGAGGGATGGGTGGAAAAAATGGATACATGTAGGTATGAGAAAGGAGGAGAGACGCACTCGTTCTTCTCTGTCATGATTTGGAAGGCTGCTTGTCATATTAGGGGAAATAAAACTGAGTCATACTCAGTTCAGGGATGTATGAGAATGTTACCCCAGGCCCAATAGGCCGGATCCACCAGGCCTGATCAAAAGGAAGAGGGCTGAAATAATTACTGCACTCAGTGGAACTTGGAAACAACTGGGAAATCAGGACCTTTGCTTATGTGCACAGTTTTAAAAGCACCAACTAAAAAAAAAAAAAAACATTAAAAGAAAACATCTAGTGGTGACCTGCACCACCTTGTCCTCAACCACCTTCCCTGAGTTAAATGTATTGTGCAATAAAAATAAAAATAAAAATAACATGGTTTATTTAAAAACTTTTAGGTTCATTTTTCTTTTGATAACTTTTCATTACAATTTCTTCCAGCCTCCACAAATTCAAAAATATTATACTAATGAGATGCTTGTTTAAATGTTTTAACGTGATTAAATTGGTGCAATACCCTTTTACCAGCAACTGGAGTTTCCAACACAAATGTTGGAAATTGTTAATTCTGCTACTCTCAAACTCTGCAGGGGTGGAAAGTAACTACTGTAGTTAAGAACAAGTTTTCTGTACATAACCGACAGAAAACTTTGTATTACTTTAAAGGAGTTTACAGACTTTCTTAGCTTGTTTTAAATACTTTACTCAGTTACATTTGAAATCACAGGCAATCAATGAGTAAAAATAAACGCCAGGAAAAAAAATGGCATTGATGCTTCTGCTAGGTTAGTAATCAGATCTCATCTTGTTGCATTAATTGGATGATGGAGGCGCTAGGAAAAACTCAGAGCGACGTTCAAGTTAACCTCTGAGAAGTAGAAGAAAACCCGTGACCCGTGCATGAGGGGCCAGTGTGAGGAAGGCAGCAGCTTTGTCCTACAACGTAAGCTCAGCTTGGCTTATGTTCAATATTATGACAGTGTAAATATTCAGAATAATATTACAGAGAAGAGAAGCTTCATAGATGCAGTGAAGGATGGAGAGGGTTTGGTGTAACGGAAAAGGATGCTGAGATGATCACCTGTGTAGAAACCTGAAGACTGACAGAAGATGAGAAGTAAATGTATCGTTAATAATTACACAACATTTTACAAAGCCAATCCACAAGAAGCCAACAAAAACATGAAGACTGATTGGAAGACATATTGCATTTCTGTTATTTTAGGGTTCAGCTCTGTTTATGAAATGTTTTCAGAAGAAAAATTGTTGTCTTAATTATCATACCCATTAATTTGCCTTTTCTACGTTACACTATTGTAGGTATTTTTTATGAAAGACTGCTGGTATTCAATTATTTTTATTCAGAAATGTTTCCTTCTATACAAACGTATGCAAATACTAAAGAATTTTTCAAATATATCAATTTAAAGCATCGGGGTAGGACAGTTTAACCTACATAATAATTTAGTCTGTGAAAAATTGGAAAAATTTCCACATATTTTCCATCACAGAGTTGATTTATCATATTATAGCAATTAAATTTTTCCTGAAAGAAAGCAGGTAAAAAAAAATGCAGCTAATAACCGATACAATGGCTTTCAAAGTATTCAAGCCCCTTGAATTTTTCCATATTTTATCACATTACAATCACAAATATAAATATATTTCTGTGGAATTTAATGTGAAAGACCAACACAAAGAGGTATTCAATTGTGAAGTAGAAAGAAAATTAATTATACAGCATTTGAACTATTTTATACAAACAAAAAAACTGAAAAGTGCGGAGTGTAACAGTTTTCAGCCACCTATGAGTCTATACTTTGTGGAACATTATTTTGCTACAATTCCAGCTGCAAGTGTTTAAGGGTTTCTCTCTACTGGATTTGCACATCTAGGGACTGAAACTTTTACTTATTCTTCTTTGCCAAACAGCTCAAGCTCAGACAGATCAGACGGAGGGCATCGGTGAGCAGCAGCGTTGAGATGTTGGCACAGATTCTTGATTGGGTTTTAGATCTGGACTTTGACTGGGCCATCCTAACACCTGAATATGTTTTGTTTTAAACCATTCCATTGTAGCTCTGGCTTCATGTTTAGGGTCCTTGTCCTGCTGGAAGGTGAACCCAGTCTCAAGTCTTTTAATCTTGAGTCTGGGTTTTGTCTGTCGACTCCAACAGGTTTTCTTCCTACACTGCCGTGTATTTGGCTCCAGTCATCTTCAGCTCTGACCAGCTTCCCCACAGCATAAAGCTGCCACCACCATATTTGACAGTGGAGAGGGGGATGATTTTTCAGTTCTCCACCACACATAGCGTTTTGCATTTTGGCCTAAAAGTTAAAATTTGGTTTCCTCTTACCAAATCACCTTCTTTGACATGTTTGCTTTGTCCCCAACATGGCTTCTGGCAAACTGCAAACAGGGCTTCTTGAGGGTATTTTTTATTTTTTAAATCAATGACCATTCATCAATTCTTCCTTAAATACTACATTTGTTGAGTGTGTGACTAATAGATGTCCTGTGGACAGACTCCCCCTGTGAATCTCTGCATTTCGTGATGTGCTGTTTCTAAGGCAAACCATTCAGGAAAATTCACTTCTTATCAGAGCGAGAAAAATGTCAACAAAATTGAAATGGCAGTTTGTAAAATGAACCTAAACCCCAGAAGTGTGCTCACAAAAAACCCCGGAGGGACAATGTTGCATTGCACTTGTTCTAACATAAACAGAAGCACTCTAATATCCGTGGTTTAGCCTTAGAGTCTTAATTGAAGATGTCATGCAGTCTAATTAAATGTTCAATGCATGCTACAGGTTTTTTTATTAAATCTGGCCATTAGTGGATGTCGT